AAAATAAAGAAATTTGACAAGAAAAATAGTGTTCCATTGTGCCTGGCAAATAGCATCCATAGCAAACGATCAAGATAGATTTCCTAACAAGTTCAAGAAACACAAGATCTTAGGGCCTACATTAGGACTATGCATTGGAACCATGCATAAAAGAAATTTCATCTATACAGATAGCAGTTGTTTCAGTAGCGCAAGTGATCTAGTATTCAGCTTTTGCTGAAGGATCTAAAGAATGGAGGTTCTCGAGAATATCCCATTTTCAGTTTTTTCCACTTCTGCATTCTCATAAAGCTTAACCAAGTAAACAACTGCCGTAAGGAATCAACCTCTTGAAGTGAAGTGCAACCTATGTAAAATCTAAGAACTTGTTGGAGACAACAACACCATTCTAGACTGTATTGAGATTCGAGAAAAAGAATCAGTGAATACCTTATTCTCAGAGCTCTTAGAATTTTCATTGCTATCATCTTTAAATCCATTCTCCACCATCTTCCCTCAAATTGTGGCTGCCTGATTCCAAATGAATGACAGAAGGATTGCAGATTAATGGAAGCTATTGAAAAGCCTGAAAGAATGATCAAGGGAAATAAACTCTGGGGAGGATTACCAATTTGTCTCTTAAGTTACAGTCTTAATTGATGAAAGCACAAACCATGTTATACTTGCCTAATAATACCAAAAGAACAGCCACAGCGGCTTGTTGTCTTTTATGGGGAACAGTTTCAGAATATCAAGTAGCTTTCCCAATTGCACTGGTTCTGAAAGTATAACCCTACTGAGTTCAAGCAAACTAACCCCACAAGGAATTTGCAGACAATCAAACCCCAGTAAGAAAAGTTACCCAGATCAGTAAAAGCAAGGTATATTAAGAGAACTACGCCATCAGTTCACCCACCATACTAAATGCAAATACCAAAGTCAACTACCCCACAGGGCTAAAAACAGCTTGCAATGGATTAGAATCGAATTCAGTTGACTATAAACCCAACCCGATCGCGGAAATTGTTAGCGTGAATCCAACTAAAAGAAGGCAGCAACCAATTCTCAAACAGATACTGAGAATCAAAATGCAAGTTGGAAGAAGGATCAGAAGCGCCACTGTCACTAACCAGAAGACAGTATCAGACGGTTAGAGGAGGAAGAAAAAGAGCGCCCGCAATACTTCCCAGTGTGAAACTGTTAAGTGGGTCTCAGGCGGGGGCAAATTTCATCATTCAAATAGCCCAAAGTTGGAATCTTTTTTCTTTTCTTTTTTTTTTTTGGTAGAAATCTTTTTTCTTTTCTGGGTAGGATTATAATATTTATTTTTTTTTAACATAAAAAGCTAGTTGCGACTTCCGATCATTAATACGATCAGGGACTTGTCGGCCTCGGCCCGTTTCCGCCGTCGGCGGCTGACACTACCTCTGCTTTGTCTTCTTGCGTTCTCTGGTCATATTTTAGAGCCATGTATTGTGGTGACAGAATGAACAAGTTGCTGGGCGGCCCAATGATGCCTTTTTCCGTTCGTTTCTAATAAGAACACATGGAAGATTCAATCATAGTGAGTGAACCATTAATGGAAGATAAGATATAGACCACCAACTTTTCAAATTGGAAGCCATATGGTTATTATCATGAAGAACTCAATGAGTATATATGCCTCTCTGCTTTCAATCCAGATGCAATAGGACACAACAATGGAGACAGAGCTTATAGCGAAGACTAGCTAGAAATTACATAAAATAGTTAATAACCACTTCTTAAGGTTAGATCTCGATCTTAAAGGACAGGGACTGACGGTCATCATCAAGGTACAACTTCCCAATATTTTAACCAATATATTAATGTGCACATTGTACTTTCATCCCAAACATTAAGAAGATAGTTAGCCGCCTCTAGCCCATTTTGAAGATATTTAGGTGAAAGAAGGGACCGGTTATTGTAACAACACTCATTGTGTTGTTATTGTAACAACACTAGTCCCCAATCAATAGGTAGCTAGGATTGTGATGACTTTTTATTAAATGAGTTGACCTAGTGTAAAATCAAAGCAGGGGTATAATTGTCATTATGAAAAATCTATTTAAATAAATAAAAAAATAAAAAATATCTGCCCAAAAATTTGGTCGTCGGAATTCCGCCACCGGTCACCGGAAAATGGTCGCCGGTCACCGGAATATGCTTTTTGTCGCCGGAATATGCTATTTTGTGGCCGGAATATGCTTACCGGAGTCGGAATATGATTACGGAGTCGGAATATGCTTACCGGCGTCGGAATCTAGTCACCGGGGCCGGAATATGCCTATCGGCGTCGGAATCTGCTCACTGACGGTCACCGGAGTTCGGTCAACGGTCTTCGTTGACCGGTCAACGGTCAACGACCACCAGATGTTATGGTCTACATTGTGAGATTTATGGTTTGGTTTCTCATATTTTTTTATGCCTTTTATGGTTTGTTTTATTGTGTTTGTGGTTTGCATTGAGAAGTTTCTGGTTTGTTTTCAAAAACTTTGTGGTTTGCATTGTGAGGTTTCTGGTTTGTTTTAATATATTTGTGGTTTGCATTAGGACGTTTATGGTTTGCTTTTTTGTGGTTTGATTTACTATGTTTGTGGTTTGCATTAGGAGGTTTTTGGTGTGCTTTCGCAAATGTTGTGGTTTGCTTTGTGAGGTTTGTGGTTTGTTTTAGGAGATTTGTGGTATGCATTAGGAGGTTTCTGGTTTGCATTAAGAAGTTTCTGGTGTGCTTTCGAAACTTTTGTGGTTTGCTTTGCGAGATTTCTGGTTTGTTTTAATATATTTGTGGTCTGCATTAGGACGTTTTTTGTTTGTTTTACCGTGTTTGTGGTTTGCATTACTGTGTTTGTGGTTTGCATCAGGGGGTTTCTGCTGTGCTTTTCAAAATATTTACGGTTTGTTTTGTGGGGTTTCTGATATGTTTTAGCAAATTTGTGGTTTGCATTAGGAGGTTTACGGTATGTTTTTTGTGGGTTATTTTATTGCGTTTGTGATTTGCACTAGGGAGTTTTTGGTGTTAGAAATATTTGTGGTTAGAAATATTTGCTTTCCTACTGCTAGCCCCCTTTGCTTATGTACTCGAAAAGTAAAGACTATCAAAGCTGCTACAGCAGCCATTATAGGACTGTTCCAAGTCAGGCTCTCCAGGACTGTTCCAAGTCAACTCGTTAATTTTCCAGAGAGGGAAATTGATTCAATATTATTCAACAAGAATTGCTATTAAATAGTAGAGCATCTGTATGAAAATTGCGTCATTTGTTTTTGTAGAAAGAAACTTGCAGTCATCTATCTTGTGGTCGTCAGTTTGTAGGAGCCGTGATATTAAACACATCCGACACCAACAACTCGGTTTCCCGCCAAGCCGGCGGCAGTAACCAGGAATTGGTTTGCTGCGTGGTGGCCCGCTATCACTCAGCCGGTACCCTGAAATCGTACCTGGAAAAGCACCGCCGGAAGAAGCTCCGGCTGCGGAAAGTGGTTGCGATTCCACATGCACTCACTCCCTCATCGACATCGCTATCCTAGAACCGATACTTGCTCGCCTCGGCTACAACAATACCACCACAAAGTAAATCTCCTATTAACTTAATTCATCCCATACACAATTAATTATCATGGGTTCCATAGCCAACGAGAACAATGAGACGCCGACGTCGCTGCTGATCAGCGGCTTCACCGTGAGTCCGTGACGGTGGTGAAGAATGAGCTGGTGGCGGCCGCGCTGCCGGTTCAGGAGCATTGGCTCCCGCAGTCCAACCTCGACCTGCTCGTGCTGCCGTTGGACGTCGGGGTATTCTTCTGTTACTCCACGGCGCCGGCGGGCGGCAGGATGCCGCGGTGGCCGGGCTGAAGAACGAAGACGCGTCTGATAAGTATTTTTATTTTTTTCTATTATTTAATTGTCATTTTACTATATTGTCCTTGTTGTTATAATAACAACAAATAGACTGTTGTTATACTATCCGGAGCCGTGAAAGAACATGGTGTTGCTTGTTACTTAGTATGAATTCTCCAAGTCATTTTCTTATTAGCATTTTATGAACACGAATAATCAGGGCAGGTGGCTACATCATCCAGCTTTAACTAATCAGTAAAAAGAGAGGAGACTTATCAAAACCAAATCACCCTCCTGTTCCACCTTATTTTCAAATGGGGCATGATTTGAGCTGCTAAGATGCCTTCGCGAGGAGTAAACAGCCGTTAACTGTTAACTATCTCACGTAGGTACCTGCAAATGCATTCTATATATTGTGTTGATCACCGTGTGAGGTGTCTCTGCCTCAAGCAGCTTATAAGGGACAAATCGATTTTCAAGATTGGATGAACAATTCGAAGCTCATGAGCGAGCTGCAACACGAACTCCGCTGCTAAGTCAACCAGCATCGGTGTTAATATGCACCGCAGGTGCTCGTGTGAGCAATCCATATCACTTTCTGTGAGTTGGTGAGAGCGGTAGCCCTCCATGAAATGGTTGAGCGATTGAAATTTTCCATGCCTCAAGTTCCGCATACTAGAGTTTTCCCACGCCATAGATTTGCAGATTAGAAGTTTGCAACCCAGGACCACAGTTGTAGTTGGTCTCTTCTATCTAGGGGTGACAAACGGTAAGCCGGTAAACAGTTTACCGTTTTACCGAATCGGTAATCGGCGGTATTGGCGGCCGAGTGTCAAATGGTGAAGCTCGGTTTACCGGCCCCAGTATAGGTAAATACCGACGGTAAATCGGTAATACCGATACCGACAAGTGCGCAACTTCGAGTTTGCAAAATATTAAGTTAAGGCATTAACATATAACATATACTTCATTATTCACAAATATTACATACATGAATGGAAGTAAGTATAGGACTAAAAAATATTATAATTATAAATAAGAGTTAATAATAAATGATTAATTACAAAAATGAAGAAAAATCAAAATATTACATCACCCAATTGCCAGAAATTCAATTCGGTAATTTTCCGGTAAACCAAACCGAAAAATCGTCCGCAACTAATCCTTACGGTAAGTCAGTAAAACCGGTTTATAACCGTTTACCAGTAATTCGGTAACCGATAAATCGATTACAAACCGGTATCGATAGTCGATTCCCCCTTACCCACACTCGCATACCGAAAACCGGTAAAGTCCGACCCAATACCACCCCTATTCTAACCTACACTTGGCTGGCTCCGCCAGTACAAGGAACGCAAGTTCATATAATTTGGAATCAATAATATTGGGAAAGACGAACACACTCACAGCACTCCATGTTGTGTCATGTGGTAAACCAAGTCGAACGAATAGACATATTTGGCCACATTCTTAGCTTTCCAACAGTGAGTTCTGCACATGCCAATCATCTGTTACGCCAGAATCACGAGTCTTGAGAAAATAACTCGGTTTGACTTTCATGCTTCGCCAAAGACTAAGAACAACTATATGAGCAGCACAAATCATCCAAACAAATTTGAATCACAGCAGTAAAAAAAACCAGGCATTATCAGTCTACCACCCGGAGTAAGAAGAAGAAGAAAAAGAGCGATAATCTAGCTCCTTATATAAGGCTTTTGGATATTGAATTCTGAGGTCTACAAGACGGCCTCGCAACAGTAGTCTCAAACAAGTATATTCTTTCCCCTAATCCAAAATAACATAGGGCTTACCCACCCTAATCGCTGTCTTTATTTTCAAGAAATGCCTAATGTTTCTCTTTCAGGAAAAACAAAGTCCGATTAGGGAAAACTATTAACCAGTGACAAATGGTAAACACAAATCTGTGTCAAAACCGGCACAAGAATCAAGCAGTCGATGCCTTCAGGTATGCAATAAGGTCTGCACGATCCTGTGGCTTCTTCAATCCAGGGAACACCATCTTAGTTCCAGGAATGTACTGCAAGAAAAAAAAAACACAATAATCAGCCATAAGGTCTATATTTGAGACAAACGAGCGCCTCGCACATCAAAGGAGCTGCTAGATGCTTCAGTCATTGCAAAATTTTGTTCAGGGCTGCAAAGCACGAATAAAAATTCACCCACATTTGGTATCAGAACAAGTACCAACTTCACGTCAGTAAAAACTAGCTTGTACGTAAAAGAAAAACTAATAGACAGGTATAATACTAGACAGTGCCTCCCAATTTCCCACACCATCGAATGACCTGTTCTTCATAGGTGATACTTAAATGAGTGAAGGAGAGTAGGCAAGAGCCGACTGTTACTAAATAACAATTGATGAGTAGAACTACTTGAGGGTGCTAAATGATTACTACTTCGTAGCTTCGAACTACCATATGAAACTACCATGCAACTCACAGGGTTCCTCATTCTTTCGGCCATCCGAAAGTGAAGATCCATTTCACAACCAAAACTAACGTTCAACGCAGGGCACAAGTCGCAGACCACCACAAAGGGTAATCTTAATTGTCTAATATATCACGACAACAATACTTAAATTCAAACGAACAAGGGATTGGTCTAGTGGTAATACTACTAGCCTTGAACCTGAAGGTCTCAGGTTCGAATCCCTTCAGTAGTACCTAATTACAAAAAATAACCTATATCACCCTTATCTAAAAAAAAATACTTAAATTCAATCTTCAGAAACAAAACGGAGAAATTAGACAAAAGGAGGCAAGAAAACGCTTCCTATCAGCAAAATCAACCAACTTATACCCAGAATTTAACAAGGAAGAATGTCCTACCTTCTTCGGATTAAGCAAGTAGTCGTACAACGTATTTTCTCCCCAATTGACAGCCATGTTCTTGTTAGCAGCAGAGTAGGAATAGCCCGCGGTTGTACCAGACTGCCTTCCAAAAAGTCCATTCAAATTCGGTCCTGCACATTGCATTAACCACCCACAGCTCAATCTACGAACACCAAATCGACGAGCAAAAGCCCCTTGACAGCACAACAACAAGAACCATCGTGGCATGCAACCCCAATACGATGTAACAATCGAGTTCAATTCAATAGTAAAGCACAAGAAAGAAGCGAGAAAACAGTCCCACTCAAGAATCTCCCAAAAAGACGGTTCCTTTCCAAAAAGAGGAAATGAGAAAGAGAACGACATCAAATAGATTGCCCGATCACCGCTAATCTTAACCTTACCACCCCAAAACTGAAGCCTCGCCCATACAGAATCTGAACCTAATCATCATTGAATACCATAGAGAACAGAATTTCGGAAACAGTCGAAACGCAAACTGATAAGCAAAAAAAAAAACAAATTCGCATACATCGTGAAACAGATCGAATAAATCAGAACCACTGAGATCGAAAGCCGGGAGAAAACCAGAAGTTCGTCACAACGGCAAACCTTGTTTGTGACCAGCGCCTTTCTCGACGGTGTGGCACTGGGCGCACTTCATCTTGAAGATCTTGGCGCCGCTATCTGCATTGCCGGGGGGAGCTTCGTTGAACGACGCCATCGCTGTGAGAGGGCGAGAGAGAGGGTAGATCGCGGAATGGAGGAGAGCTCTAGGGTTTGGGGTGTTTCTGGGGATGGAGGAAGGTCGTACTCGTAGATCTGAAGCTAGAAATAAGAACGGGGAGGAAGCTGCGAGAAAAGAGGATACTACAAAGAGAAGTTTGTGAGGCGGTGGCGGTACACACGCCCCTTAACACGACTTTTTCTTTCATTCCACTTCTGCCCCTTCCTCACTAGTCACTAGCATGTAGCCGGCGCGTAGGCCGGAATATTTGATTATATAATTTAATTAATTAATGTAAATTAGGGTTTTTCAATAACTTTTTAAATAAATGTTTTATTCGGCAAATTGTCCGAAGTTTGGTCATAGTATTAGCAGATTTATCACCATATTCATATCATTAATGAAATTCTTTCTATGTTATTTATATTCTTACATTCTTATAACTTATGAGAAAAGGAAGAAATTACATAGCTTCTCATAATCTATATCATTTGCTCTTCTTTTATTCAAAAATTATAAGTACGTTTTGTACGCTATATATTTTTCCGGTGAATTATTACTCAATTTGTAGCTATATTGCTATAACATAAAAATTAATTTGTCAATGAGAAGTAATTTACTGAAATGTTACAAAAAAACTCAAACAATCAAATACAATACCAAATTATTCGTTAATTTAGAATTCGTGATAAAAAAACACATTAATGAAGTTTACATATTGATCATAAAAAAAATCATAATTTAATGATAATCCAAAAAAATGTTGTGCGGAAAAATATAAAAGATTAAAAAAAGATAATAGATTTCAAAAAAAAAATATACATCCTTTTGTTTTATTTTAATTTTGTCAAAAATCATATGATATTCCAAAAAAATTTGGAAATTGTTCCATGAAAATATAAAAGTTTATTGTTTTAATTTGAAACATCTTTTTATATTATTTTATTTCCCACTAATATTTTCTCTCTCCCGGCTTTTTGTATACACTACCGAAAATCAAGAGAGAAACCTTTTTTTCAATTCTAAAATCATGATATAATTACTTTTTGTTGGGGGTGTTCGAATAAGAGGGCCCAGACGAATGGGTGAAGCCCAGTAAGAGGGGTGTGGTCTAAGCAGCCCAAGATAAGGTGGAGCTTACTCGAGGCCCTGCGGCGGGGTCTGGGTGCTTGGTAGGCGCCTGGAGTGCACTTGACAGTTATGAGCGCCCGAAGTGGGCGCCCGGGAGTCACCCGCATTAAATGCGGTGATGACGTGGAAACCCGTACATAGAGATCCAGGTAAGTGATAAACAGTTATAAATAGCAGGGTTGGTAAGCATTTACTCAATTTGGCTTCTCTCACTAAAATTGTGCATACAAGCACTTCTCTCACTAAAAAAGACACTGACTTGAGCGTTGGAGGACTAACGGGCCACAAGGCCCACCTCTGTGAGTGCAGGCTTATCCACGAAAGAGAGGGCGAGTACGGAAGGGAAGTTGGAGGATCAAGCGGGCTTCAACAATTGGCGCGCCAGGTAGGGGGCGAACACAACTAGACGGTAGGACGAGAGGAAGGGGCGCCTGGTTTCAATGGAAGAGGGTGGAAGTGAAATTGAGGAGCAAGTCATGGGGGAGGCGTCTCAAGAGGCAGGAGGACGAACACCTAGTAGGGAGGAGGATGAAGGAAGTGAAGGCCAGCATTTGAGTTCGGAAGGAGCCTCGGTGACTAAGAAGGAACTGTTCAAGATCATAGCCGATCAGGATGAGGCCATCGGGATGTTGAGAAGAGAGGTAGAAATGTTGAAAGAGGGTGCCCCTAGCCCCGGGACAAGGAAGAGGGAGCGTACGATGGAGGCTGAAGGTGAGTCCAGCTCGCTTAGGCGCCTTGCCAGCATGAGGCGCCTGGCTGACTACGGAGACTCCGAGGGAGAGAGGAATGTGTGGATGCAGGGGCGCCCACCTCGACAGTTTGTGGTAAGGCAGCCGTTGGCCAGGTGCGTGCTCATGGAGCCCGCCAGTACCAACATTCCACCACTTCCCACCTATGATGGTACGGCGGACCCGGACGACCACCTTAACAGCTACTTCACAAAAATGCAGTTGTATAACAGCTCGGACGCGACCTTATGCAAGGTGTTCCCGTCAACTTTCTCAGGCGTGGTACTAGGTTGGTACCATCAGATCGAAGAGGGGCGCATAGAATGCTTTGAGCAATTTGCGGCAATGTTCCTGGCAAAGTTTGCAAGTAGAAAGAGGCGCACGCTGACTGTAGGCTCCCTGTTCAAGATCAAGCAGAAGGAGGGGGAAACTTTGAGGGAGTTATATGAGCGGTGGATCCCGGTGGCCATGGCTGTAAGAGACGTGCAACCCCCGGTGCTCGGGGTCCTTCTTGAGGAGTGCACCACGAGTGAGGAGCTTTGTCGGGCGCTAGCTAAGAGGGATGTAGTGTCTACGGAAGATTTGGATCGTAGGGTACAAAAAGTTATAGTGTTGGAGGAGGCGCTAGCAGCAAGACGGGCCGACAGGCGCCGCCCAAAGGGTGAAGAAGGAGATGGAGCACGGAGGCAGGCGCCCGAGTCTAGGCCTTTCTATGGAGGTGCATCAGTCATGCCGGTGAGGAGGAATGATCAGGGGCGCCGGAGCAGGAATAGTAATTATTAGCCCAAGCGGGGTCATGCATGAGGTTGCTCTGCGGTTTTCGGAACTTAAAACCAACAACGCAGCCGAGTATGCAGCGGTCGTGGCGGGGCTCCGCATGACACGAGAATTGGGCGCCCAACATGTTAGTGTTAAGTCCGATTCAGCCCTTGTGGTCAACCAGCTCAATGGGGCGTTTGACGTGAAAGAGGAGGCCTTAGAAGCCTATGTCCAGGCAGTCAGAAGAGAGGGCGTCTGGTTCAGAGAGCTGGACTTCGTGCACATCCCAAGAGAAGAAAACGCCCATGCAGATGCACTGTCAAAGTTGGCCACGGCTTTAGACTTCGCTGAGGACAGGAAGGTTATCGTCACAAAGGAGGTTCCACAAGAGTATGTGGTAGCAACCGTGGGGGATTCTATGGAAACTGAAGGTTGGATGGCGCCCATCCTGGCATATCTAGCCGCTGGTACAGTCCCGGAGGACCCAAAGGAGGCCTGGAGGCTTAGGCGCAAGGCTGCTCGGTGCTCCATAATCGAGGGGCGCCTGTACAAGAGATCCCATTCAGGAGCATATTTGAGGTGTTTAAGCAAGGAAGAAGGTCAGGCGGCACTGGAAGAAGTCCACAGTGGTACTTGTGGAATGCATGCCGGCGCTCGCAGTTTGGAGAAAACGTTGCTTCGTCAGGGGTACTATTGGCCAACAATGCGAAAGGATGCCAAGGCCCACACGGGCGCCTGTCACCAATGTCAGATCCATGCTAACGACATTCATATACCTGCTGCCCCAATGCAAGGTAACACGGGCGCCTGGCCTTTTGCCCAGTGGGGTATGGACCTTCTAGGTCCTTTTCCAAAGGCACCCGGACAGTTGAAGTATTTGATCGTCGCCATTGACTACTTTTCGAAATGGGTGGAGGCAGAGCCCTTGGCGACCATTATAGAAGCACAAGTGCGCAAGTTCACAAGAAAGAACATTTTCACTCGCTTTGGGTTGCCGGAGTCTATTGTAACCGATCATGGCAAGCAATTCGATTGCAAACAGTTCGTCGAATTTTGCGATGCGCATGGGGTGGTCCTGAGGTTCTCATCTGTAGCATACCCGCAAGCTAATGGGAAAGCTGAGGCGGCTAACAAGTGCATCCTACACGGGTTGCACACTAGGCTCCTTGGTGCCAAGGGGCGTTGGGCGGAAGAGTTGCCAAGCGTTCTCTGGGCTCACCGAACGACGTTCAAAGTGGCCACTGGTGAGACGCCCTTCGCGCTGACATATGGAAGCGAGGCGGTGATCCCTGTCGAAGTCAATATCCCAAGTTACCGGGTGGCGCATTATGAACCAAGCCGAAATGAGGAAGAAAGGGTTGCTGAGTTGGACCTCTCCGATGAGCGTCGTGAGGTGGCATCCGTGCGCAGGGAGGAGATGAAGAGACAGGTGGCTCGATACTACAATAGAAAGATGCGCCCTCATGGCATCTCCTCAGGCGCCTTGGTTCTCAAGAGAGATTTCAGGCCTTGTGCGCAGGAAGGAAAGCTAGCTCCCAAGTGGAAGGGGCCGTATCGGGTGAAGGAAGTCATCGGGGCGGCCACGTTTAAGTTGGAACATCTGGATGGAAGGCCGGTAAAGAGAACATGGAATGCGCAGAACTTGCGTGTGTATTGCGCTCAGCTGGGGGGCAAGGAGGCTGCACTTTGACAGACCACGAGAAAATGTCTGTGGGAGTTAGTTCGTAGTACCGTAGGTGTGTGCGTGTAATCAAAGCGCTTGTTGTGTTCAGCGCCTCGTATCGTGTAACCAAAGCGCCCATCGTTTTAAGCGCCCCTGTTTGTGTTAATGAAAAGGCCTCTTGCGAGTTCATAGCACACATTCCCTTCCGTACAATTGTGAGGGACGGTGAACACGTTCCCAAGTGACAAATAATGCGCCCAAGTAAGTAACGCGCCCAAAGAAAGGAAGTAAAAGCGCCCGAAAGATATGCGCCCAAATCTATAAAGCGCCCATAAATATGCGCCCGAATCACAAAAGGACACGGGAAGTGAAAGCGCCCATAAATTATGCGCCCAAATTGTGAAAGAATACGAGAATTGAAAGCGCCCGTAAATTTGCGCCCAGGTAGGTAAAGCGCCCCAATTAGATAATGCGCCCAAAGGAAAAGTTGAAAGTTGCATAGTTGTGCAAACAATGCGCCTAGATAAAAGTTGTGAAGGCAATCAAGCGATATATAATGCGCCCAAAGCAAATTAGGCGCCCAAGTGGCTACGTAAGTTGACAAAGCATGGAAAGAAGCACGCCCGAACAAGTGATGCAAAACGACAAGAAAACATTCGAATAACAGGCGCCCAAGTTTATGAAAAAAGAAATGACACACTCATAATCATGGTCCATGGTACACAAGTAGAGGCACGCCTAAACTACTCTGCCTCTGACGACACATCTCCCATCGAAGACTCGCTCTCTTGGGGGGAAGGCGCCTCTTCATCTCCCTCGGGCGCTGCGCCATCCTCGGCCTCTTCTTGCTCGTTCTGCATTTCCTCAATCACAAAGCTTACAAGGTCGGGGAAGTTAACAGCGACGTCGGGGTACTCCTGATCGAGCTTCCTCTTGGCAAGCACCAAGCTATCCAGAGACGC